TTGTTGTTATAATCTTGCCATGAATTCTCTGCCAACATGATACTTCGTAAGATAAATGTAAAGTTGTACAAATTTATAATTCTATTACATTGTGTGCAATATGTGAAATTTTATGAAACATATAGATTTCTAGCTTTCTTTTAACAGTGTTTTACCGCACTCACAACTGCATACGGTAATATGAACGAGCGAGACTCATTAAGCATTTTTCATTTTAATAGGAATTAAGTTTGAATTTTGTCCGGGGGGCAGCCTAAGCCGAAAAGGCTAAGCGTTACTAACACTTAATTAGATCTTACATACCCTAAGATCAGGAGTGTGGCCGAAAGACAGCAGTAAGAAGGAACCAAGGAGTATCAGTCGAGAGGCAGTACAAAGAGTCAGGATCCCAGTGTATGGGGCAAAGGGAGGGGTGGGCAGCAGAAAGTGGAGACGAAGGCAGACGACAGAACATGATTAGAGAACAGTGGTTTGACTACCGGACTCGTAATCGTGAGGTTGCGGGTTCGGGGGTTCGACCCGCGGGCCCGACCTTGTGTCCTTGGGAAAGGCACTTTACACGTATTTTCCTCACTTCACCTAGTTGGGAATGGGTACCCGGCCATAGACAGCGAAAGATCGTGTCCGTATGTTAGTGTTTTAGCGCCTATAAATAGCTGCTTGCACTGTATGCTTCCCAGGAAGTTGAGGTTGTTTCAGAATGCTCTCAGATCTGCTGGGGTATTAGATTGTGAAGCTCATAGAGCTAGCTTTTGAGCGGGGATTTGCGCTCTATACAAATGCTATCTATTTAAACAATTTTAAAAAGAGAATTTTCCGTCGCACTCAGGTTTTAAACCCGGGATCTATTGAATGAGAGGCAAATACCGTACCTCTGGACCACAGTTCTCCTCAGTATACTTTCCCACATGAGCATCATTGTCTCAGGTGGCGTCATGCTGGACTGCGGTGCAGCGGTGCTGCGGATCCTAGTTTGGGTCCCCGACACTGTATTAATTTAAGGACTCAGGTTGTTTAGGGAAATTTCATGGACATCCAAGCACTTGGCTCAGCCCTGCTGAAGATAGACTTCAAAGTTAGAGGCCAGATCCTTTGACGGACCTCATGGTGTTTAGAGGAGGGTTATTATAGCTTTACTGTTTCAAAGTTTCTCAAGGGGTAGGAGTTGGTCAAAGTATTGTATTTGAATCGGAACATATTGTATGCGATGTCATAGGTTTTTGTTATTTCTTAAATGTATTTTTTTTGGGGGGTGTCTTTGGAAAGGGGGGGGGAGGCTAAGGATAAAGGGTTGAAAAACCTCTTATCTGGTTTATTATTTCGATTTAAATTATATGTGTTCGTGTGTTTTTATAAAAGGGGAAAGGGTTGACAAGCTCTTTTCAAGTTCAGTTTTTTAAACAATATAAATGTATAATTCGATGGAGTAGTTAAAATACAGAACTGCTCAATTACTGTCTAAATAAGAGAACATGTTTTAAAGTTTTGCAATGAAGTCAGAAGTCATTTCTTTGTTATTGAAGTTCTCAAAATCTGATCTCACCCTACTTTTCTCATGGCTTTGTGCAATGGGAAGCCCCCTTCGTTTGATTGTCGACCTTAGATATTGCACGCTTGCTAACAACCTTAGTCCTGATTTCCCGGGACAGTCCCAGATTCAGCAATTAGGAATTCGAGAGCCCTATCACGTAGGCCTACATTTGTACTCTACACTAAAACCCAGTCCCACTTGATTGGTCGTCATGTGTTCGTTGTTACATAATAAAATAATAATAATGATTGACATTTATACTATAGAGCGCTCAGCTCAACCCCGACTAAAGTACACAGGCTCTGAGCACTGTACAGTACAATACAACAGTAACACAAAACGTTGTGTTCTGACCAAAAAATAACATTTCTCTAAATATTCATCTTATTAATTTAAACGAAGTGACTCGAGTCCGAATAGACAAAAAGTATACTCGGACTCTGAATTGACTCCCTAATTTAAAAGCAAAAATGACTTCAGCTGACATTTGAATGAATCTAATGTTACAACGATGGGTGTCCCTGACTGGGCTTTGAAAAAGCTGGCCAGCCTGATATTGCGCCAGAAGAGCTCATGACGCTGCTGCTGGAGCTCCATCATTGTGAGTCATTGGTGGCTGATGAGGCAAATGTGGGAGTGCCAAACCCTGGACTCTTCCGCACATTATAAACAGCCTCTGTGGTTTAGCGGATAGGCGCCTCGCTGTCGCTCGCAGGAAACCCGTGTGTGTGTGTGTGTGTGTATGTGTGTGTGTGTGTGTGTGTGTATTTTCTGAAATAGTGAGTGGGTGGTTGGCGGGTGTTCTGGTGTGGTTTGCTTCTTCTTTCCTATGAAACATCAATCGTTCTTATCTCCCCTTCTTCTTTTTTATGTATGTTTCTCTCTTGTAACACCTCTAATCTTCTGGTGCTCGTATGACCTTATGCAGTTGCGAGCGCCCAAAAAATCTCTACTATAAACTAACTATAA